AAAGGACAAAGATTGAGATATTATATAATCATAATAGTTATGGAGGTTCTCAAAGTCAGGACATAACCCTTTCAGTTATTTATGCCACGAATTTTCCTTTTTAAGTTTCTTGAACTACATGTGATCATTTAATCATTTTGTTATTCCTTCATTTTCTTTCAGAACAAGGTTCCATTGAGATCCGTTAAGGCCATCCATGACCTGCATATCTTCATATTCACTCTAGCTGTAGTCCATGTGATCTGTTGAGTTCTCACAGTTTTCATTGGACTACGCAAAGTGACTGTGTGAGACACTTTCTGTTATAAGCTATTCCTACTCGCAATTTTCTTTCTTTTTTGAAGATCCATCCGTTTGTTGTGTAGATACGACAGTGGAGGCACTGGGACCGGTCAATTGGTGAAGATCAGAAAGTTACGTAAGTGATTCAATTATTTAATCAAACTATAGTCTCTTTAGTAGATGTTTTTCAAGTTCTACTTTGTAATTGTTATCTTTAGTTTTGTTTTCATGAACCATGAAACAACTGAAAATAATTAATTAATCTAACAAACAGTATCTGTTTAACTCCCATAAAAGCTATCTTTCTGAGTGTTTTTCTTCTTCATTACTCCTAACATGCTAATTGGGTTACTGCAGTTCTGCAACCAAGGAGCAGTACTAACGATCTGATGGCTTGGTTGGTAAGTTATTCGAATATGTTAATCCAAAACTGAGAATTGATTATATGAAGATTTTGTCTGAATTTTAGTTTTTCATCGTCCTAATCTTGCAAGTTTCTTGTAGCATTCTTTATGGGAGCAATTTTATGACTCTGTAAATAAAGCGGATTATGTGAACTTAAAGAATGGTTTTAATAACATGGTAAGTTTAAAAGGCTATGCAATGTGAAGTTTGGTGCCTATTATTCCTTGATCTGGCTCTTTTCAAGTAGCCTCAAGTAGGGTGTGTGTGTGTGTGTGTGTGTGTGTGAAGATTATTGTTTTATATTTCTTTGTTTTAGACGGGCAAGAAAAATAATCCGCAGCCTACATTTCAGGAACACACGATGAAGGTCCTTGTGTTGGTGTAAGGTTAAGTGCTTCTGGGGATTCATTTTGATTTTAAATGTCTTTGGGAACTGATTCTGTACTCATGATCATACTTTTGTTTCGTTGCAGTTGGTACCTTCTGATCTTTGTGTTTATCTTCTTCTTAATTAGTGTTAATGGTATGGTTATCTAATTATTTCTCTCGGTTTTTTCTAGTTGTCAAAAAAGCATTACCTTTTGTCTCCAAATTCAGATATATTTAATTTAATTTCTTTGGTCTTACAGGGTGGCTACATATTTTTGGATAGCGTTTATTCCATTTCTCGTAAGTATCTTCTTAAGATTTGTTTCCCTTTTAGTGGAATTCAGCTTTAGTTAGTTTCTTGTCGACACATAATCTTACCGTGCAATTTCATAACATCAAAGACTAAATATTCTTGCTTCTGATCTTTAAGGTCCCGTTTGGTACGAAGCATTGAAAATGAGGGATTGGGATTGGGATTGGGATTGCAATTGAAAAAATCATTAAAATAGTACTTAGTATGAATAATTGTTTGTTATATGGGATTAGGTATGCCCATAAAGGTGGGATTGGGGAATACCACTTCCCCCCATGGTATTCTCTAATCCCACATACATGGCTTTGACTAATCCCATATATCAAACAATCTCTTATACTAAATACTCTCTTAATAGATTTTTTCAATTGTAATCCCAATCCCAATCCCTCATTTTCAATGCTTTCTACCAAACGTAACCTAAGATTCTTTGATCGATACCGACTTTATCTCTCTCTCTCTCTATAGACACACACACGCACACACGCACGCCCACACCACTGTACTGATTTGCATCATTCTGTCAGCTTCTGCTAGCTGTGGGCACTAAGTTGGAGAATGTACTTATGCAATTAGTTCATGAACTAGCTGCAACGGATGATGCCATTGAAGGCCAATTGCATGTTGTTCGACAATCACGTTATCACTTTTGGTTTCATCGGCCTTCCTTTGTTCTCTTGTTGATTCACTTCATCCTTTTCCAGAACTCTTTTGAGATTGCATTCTTCTTCTGGATATGGGTGAGCAAATTCTATTATTTCTTTTCCTCAATCAACTTTCATTTGCGCTTCTGGATTTGACGTGATTATAATTAATATTTATATGTGTATAATTTTATTGTTCATTAGCTTAAGGCTGCTTATAGCTTTGACGCCTGCGTAATGGGACAATTTGGTTAGATTGTCTTCAGGCTTGTCATCGGGTAATTGCAACACTTCCTTCCCTTTTGCAATTGTGAAGTATTTTCAGGCCTGAATTATATGCTGTTAGTTGTCATTAGGGTTTCACTTTAATTTGGTTGCTATCATGTAACTACTTTCAATTTGCCATTTTATGACTTTAGCCAAATTAAATGTTTAAATATACCCTACCCCGTTCGATACTAAATATAGGAACAAATTGAGATGTTTGTTATAGTCTTTAATACAATATTTCAATCCATTTTATCTCTTAAAATTATATGATTTTGCCCCTGGCCACCCCTATTGATTCTATGTATTAAAAGAGATTCCCATGAAAACTAACTATTTTTGTAATATCTATAAGCTAGTTATCTAATTCTTATAAAACAATCGTGAGACTCAAATTTTAAACTATTATTTAAAATTAAATGAAACTTTGTGGACCCATATATATATATATATATATATATATATATAGTTCAAAACTTCGACACTGCCTCTTTTGTTACCTATTTTATGCATCCTGAATTTTAATCTTTTCTTTCTCCTTTGTTTTCAGGGTTTTCATTCAGGTCCTTTGCAGCTACAATACGCTACCTCTCTATGCACTCCTTTCACAGGTGTGTTTGAGTTGCTGTTCAAACTGATTTGAATCCATCCTCTCACTGAAAGATATAACATTACTCTATCATTTTAGAAGCATCTTTTTTCAGTTCATTGCCACAATTAAGGAATTAAAAAACACTGTCTCTAATATTTTTTGCCATTTTGCTTGGTCAATTTTTTTAGTCTTCACCTCACCCACCTCACGGTAGTATTTTCAACAAGTTTAAATTATAGGCATGAAGCCCATAAGTTACGCAAATCATGACCCATGCATATATCTCACCTTAGACTTCATCATCAGTAATGCATATAATCCAAATTTAGGCATTATTATTGAATTAACATGCGTTTTAATTATCAAACAATGTGTAGATGCGAAAACTCGACTGTGAGGAAACGTCTCATAAGCCTCAGAAAGAGGGCCACGGTGATGACCGTCCTTCCCGATAAGGTTCTTCATCTGTAGGACTTTGATAAATGGCTTGAGAGCTCAGCGTACCTGAGTTGTTAAGTGCTTTCGTCTTCAAAGATTGTTGAGCGCAAAATGAGTTAGTTCACGAATGTAATATATCGTTGCATATGTCAGTTTTTTCTTTTTTCTCTTTTTATTATCTTAGTGATGAGCTGCGCTTGTGAGTATTTTTAGTCACAATGTGCGTGAAACTTTGAAAACTATAGATTGGCCTAAGAATTTAGGGATCAGAGTGCTCGTTTACTTTGTAAATATGTAATTTAGCTTCTCCTCTGTACCATAGAGCCTTATAGTGTGTGTTTGTGATTTAGTTTCACATCTGTCTCCACCCAAAGACGTACTTTTAGTTGCTTCTCACCATTGAAAGTTTCTTCCGAGAAAAATAATGTTTACCTCGGGCTGACCAACTCATCGCTGGCTGCCTGCCACGTTACCCACTCACGCCACGTCATCGCCACGTCTTGACCTTTGCGCCCTATCATCCCTAAGTATTATTGAGTGAAATGTGCTTTTTCCAATATTCGAACTTGTGATAACCTTATTTTGTATATAATATTAGTACAATTGAGTTAAAATGAATCCACTTATTATTATTGTGAAACTAAATATATATTATTAAATTATATTTTCAGCTGCGATGACTTGAAAATCTGCTGGTTAAAGATTTTCTGTTAATTTTTATCAACGACTTTTTAGAGTTTTCATTGAAATATTGATTTTCAACAACAATTTTTTAGAATCCTTGAAGGGTAGACTTTCGGCGACAACTAAATATTGTTCTTGAATTTTTTTTTTTGTAGTGGCGAAAATTTTAAGGATGAATTGTTTTTTATAAATATATATTGTAGACAAGTTTTGGTTTCATTTTATTATTCATTTTTCGTAATAATTCAAATAGAATCAAATCAACATTTTGTGGCGTTAGAAAAAGCCAAAAGAAAGTGATTAAAATTAAAATAACAAAAAATTGCTTTTTAAGGAAAAATAACATTAAAATATTCTTAAAATGCTAAAAGACAAATTAGGGTGAGTAAATTTCAAAATTTTAATTAAATCTTTTATACTATTTTGGAATTTTTAAATGTGAAATGATGCAACTTCCCTTCAGTTTTCTTTTTTTTTTTTTTTTAAAAAAGAATGCCACATCAACGGCCAAAGAATTTTAAAATTTCATTTTTGAAAAAAAAATTAGGTTGAGTAAATTTCAAAATTTAAAAAAGAAATTGCTTCTTGATATATATTTTAAAAAAAATACTAAGATCATCTTTGATTTTTAAAATTTCATTTCATTTTGATTTTGGTCCTTAAACTTAAAATATGTATAAACAATTTTAAACCAATCAAAATGAAGTCAAATCCTATTAAACAAAATTCCTGATTTTAAATTTCAAAAATCAAAACTAAAATCAGGTCAAAGTTTAGAAAATAAAGATAACTTCAACCCTGAAAAAAATCTTACAAAATTTTTTCAAAATTTTTCCCCTAATTTACATACCTTTCAGTGAGATCCAAAACAATACAAGAAGACTTTGAAGCTCAGTGGAGGTACACATTTATTAATGGACAAAGTGGAAATGAAAAAGTGCAGAGAGTCCACAGATCAGTGGCAAGAAGCTAATAAGAAGATAGAAAGCTAGAGAGAGAGAATATAATGGCTGGAGGTGGGGAAGCAACTACCGACGTATACACTCCTACATGGGTTGTAGCTGTCGTTTACACTGTCATTGTCGGCGTTTCATATGGTGTAGAACGTCTTCTTCATCGTGCCGGAGAGAGCCGGAAGGAGAAGCAAAAGACGGCCCTCTGCGAAGCTCTTCAGAAAATCAAAGAAGGTTCTGTAGCTGTAACTAATAATAATAAGCTCTCAACCTTTTCTTCTTCATGAGTTCATCTAAATTAATTTTGAAAATGTTTCAAAATCTTTTCAGAGTTGATGCTGCTGGGTTTCATATCACTGCTTCTGACGGTTTCAGAGAAAAGGATCGTAAAAATCTGCGTGTCGCCGGGTGTGACCCATGGTATGATTCCTTGCTGGACGAAATCTAATAATCATTCTGCAACTGTCCGTCATCTTCTTGCTGCGGCAGCGCCACCATCATCTGGTGCCAAAATCGAATATTGTGCTGCTCATGTAACATAACATTTCCACATTAATTCCTCACTCCAACAAGAAGTCGCTGGTTATGACACTGATTATATTTAGTATTGTGAATAGTATTTTTAATGGTTTAAATTTTTATTTTTTAAATATGAAAATAGTCTTAAAGTACTGATAGTGAAGAAATTATATGTTTGTTTTAAATTGGGATAATATAATTATTGGTCTTTAGAGTTTGCAGTTTGCGTTCATTTTAGTTTCAGTCCTTGAGGTTTAAAACCATCACTTTTGGCTCCTTTGTTAAAAACTGTTAGTCCCTTGACAAACTCAATTATTTTTATATATTTTGGTATCTTTTATATGAGTTTTGTCAGCTTAATTGGTCCCTTTTTTGCCTTAATTGATTTATTTTGTTTTATTTTGAATTATTATTTTATAGGGGCAAAATTGTCATATTTTGATTTAATTGTGACTAATTGATTTTTGAGGACAATTAATGCTACCTTATCCTTGAATTTTGCTTGCAGGTTCTAGGAAGATTTAAAAATAAAAAAAAAGGAAAAGAAAAGAAAAATAAAATTAAAAATAATAATAATAATAATAGGTGGGGCAAAACGTTGCGTTTTGCCCCACCCTAATAATCCAATATTCATCATCACCAGCGCGCTGAGGGAGAAGACGTGGGCGGCGTGAATAATACCCCACTACACCTATTATTCAAAAACCGACGAGCGATACGAAACGGAGCGGACTGGCGGCAGGAAAAAAAAAGGAGACCAGCGGCGAGGAAGAGAGAACGAAGGACCATAGCTTCACGGCAAAATCACTCCTCCAGATTCCATCTTCATTGTTCTTCATGGCTGAACCGAATTGGAATTTTGGTGGAGCTGTGGTGATGGTTAGGAGTAGCTAAATCCTTCCAATTCTCTAGAGCAATGGTTATGGCTTGAACTTAGAGCTTCAAAGGGAGTTTCAACTCTTCTAATCTTTACTTCTTTCATTATAATTGTGATTTCTAGGTCTTAGAATGAATTTTATAATGTTTGAATGGGCTGTGATGATTTATATTTGTATTGAGATTGGCTGTAGTTGTTGGAATCTTTGATTAGCATTTAACATTATGCTGTGATTAGCTTTAATTTCTTTACATTGTACTGGGTCAGACTATGTTTTGAAATTATTGTGAACATTTAGTGGTAATTCAAGGTGGCTTGGTTATTGGACTAAAAATGTTAATTGCTTTTCTTTGATTTTCTTTTTGGCTAATTGTGCTGAAACAGTTTAATTGTGAATAATTAATATGCAAGGTGGCTTGATGTTGATTATTCTAATTAAGCCGAGTCTAGGGGGTGGCCCTTAGAGTCTTTTGAATTTAGCTAACTCCCAAATTAATTGAAGTAATGATAGCCTTAATCATTGTGCTAGAGGATTGCTTTTCCATTTGCTGTCACTTGTTTACTCACTTTGCTTATTTTATTCATATCCATTTTATAAACTAAAAATCCAAAAATTATTTACTCATTTTGCATCTTTTTAAATTTTGCCAATTAGTCAGTTAAAAAGAAAATCAATTCCTTTTCAAGTCAATTCTTTATTTTTGATACTTAGTTTGCTTAGGATTTCAAATAAAGGCTCCTCAAAATGAAACGACTCGAATTTTGCACTATATTGCATTGATTGGATTTATTTTTGATTGGGAACCCCAAGGCGAACGACAAAGGCTCTCATCAAGTGTTTCGTGTGTGTTCGTTCTCTGGCTCCTCAAAGTGAAACGACTCGAGTTTTGCACTATATTGCATTAATTCGGTTAATTTTTGGAGTAACCCAAAAGCGACAATTAAGGGAAGTTCAACTTCATCCCTGTAGATTGAAAGTTTCTTGCAGCATTGTTTTTGGAAGCAATTTTGCGGGTCCGTAAATGAATCGGATTATGTGACATTAAGAAGTGAGTTTATGGAGGTAAGTTTAAAAGGGAATGCAATGTGAAGTTCGGTGCCTATTAATCCTTGATCTGAAGCTCTTTTCAAGTAGCCTCTCAAGTAGGGATGTCAAGATCATGCTTTTATATTTCTGTGTTGTAGATTCGCGAGGCAAATCCGAAGTTTAATTTTCACAAACACATGATAGAAGCCCTTGAAGTTGATTTTAATATGTTTTTGGCATTAGGTAAGTGCTTCTGGGGATTCATTTTGATTTTAGATATCTTTGGGAACTGATTCTGTAATTTTGGTTGCAGTTGGTAACCTGTGGATCTTTGTGGTTATCTTCTTCTTAATTAATGTTAATGGTATGGTTATCTAATTATTTCTCTTGTTTTCCTAGTTGTCTCCAAATTCAAATTCAGATATTTGATTTTCTCTTTGTTCTTACAGGCTGGCACACATATTTTTGGATAGCGTTTATTCCACTTATTGTAAGTTGACAAACTCAATTATTTTTATATATTTTGATATCTTTTATATGGGTTTTTGTCAACTTAATTAGTCTTTTTGGCCTTAATTGATTGGTAATTGATTTTAATATATTTTATTTTGAATTATTATTTTATAGGGGCAAAATTGTCATATTTTGGTTTAATTGTGACTAATTGATTTTTGAGGACAATTAATGCTACCTTATCCTTGAATTTTGCTTGCAGGTTTTTGGAAGAAATAAAAATGAAAAAAAAAATAAATAAAAAGAAAAAAAAAAGAAAAAATAATAATAATTAAAAAGAAAGGGGCAAAACCACCACACTAATAACCTAAAATCGAATCTATTCTTCATCTTCTCGAGGGGCGGAAGACGCAAGCGGGGGCGAAGACGCCGAACGGGAGAGAAGAGGCCGAACACACACACGAAACAGGGGACGCTGGGCAGAACGAAACACACACACGCGGCTGGTGGCAGCAAACTTGATGGCAAACCGTGGCTAAGATCCTCTGATTCTCCAATTCAACAATAATGGCAGGAGCTTGGATCTTTAAGGGGGAGTTCTAGTTGCTTTAATTTCTTACTCAATAATTGTTTAACAATTCCTAGGTCTTAGGATAGTTTTTCTGATTGTTGGGATAATTGTATTGCTTAATCTGATTATATTTGGGGATTATTGTGACTGAATTATTGCTTAGTATTTGACATTGGACTGTTTATAGTTTTGATCTCAATTATAATGTTGTGGTTATGACATTTGTATTGATTTTGGAATTAATATATTGTGATTTTCTAAGGTGGCTTAGAATTTTGGATCATATAGTCTCTTGCTAGCTTTAATTCTGTTATTTTGGATTTAAGAGTTCTAATTAAGCATTGGTTTTTAGCATCCTTAATCCCACTTTACTATTCTGGTTGCAGTTAGTAAGTTGGGATTTTAGGAAAATATTTTGTGGCAACTCGAGGTGGCTCGGTTGTTGGATCAAAAGCTTAATTATAATTATTAATTCATTGTTTTTAACTCCCACATCTTTTAGAGTGATGATTGCCTGCGTTGTTGAATTGGAGGATTGATTTTTATCAGTGTTATTTGTGTGTCTCATTTTCATTTCTTTAATCTCCATTCATTTTAATCACTTTTATATAAAAACAAAAAAAAGGATTTTAATTTCAATTTGATTCGTAGTATTTAATTAACAGCTTTTCAAAATCAAAAATCTCTTTTTATAGTTTAGGTTACTTGCATTCATTTACTATGGTTTAATTTCGTTTTCGGCTCCTCAAAGTGAAACGACCCGAGTTTTGTACTATATTGCATTAATTCGGTTAATTTTTGGAGTAACCCCAAAGCGACAATTAAGGGAAGTTCAACTTCATAAGTATCGTTCTAAGATTTATTTTACTTTTAGTGGAAATTTATTAAGCTTAAGGATTCATCATGTCTCACCTTTTGTTTCAGCTCACCATGCAACTTCATATCCTCAACTACTTAATATTCTTGCTTGAGATTTTTCTCTAGATTCTTTCATCCATACCACTTTTTATCTCTCTCTCTCTCTCTCTCTCTCTCTGTTTATCTACACACGCGCGCGCGCGCACAATTCTATTGTACTGATTTGCATTGCTCTGTCTCAGCTTCTGCTAGCAGTTGGCACTAAGTTGGAGCATGTACTTATGCTCTTAGTTCGTGGCGTTGATGCAAGCAATGCTGATAATCACTTTTGGGTCCATCGGCCTTCTTTTGTTCTCTTATTGATTCACTTCATCCTTTTCCGGAACTCTTTTGAGATTGCATTCTTCTTCTGGATATGGGTGAGAAAATTCTATTATTTCTTCTCCTTAGCTTCCACTTTCATTTGCCCTTATGGGTTCACATAATTAATTGATATTTATGCATATAATCTTATATATTATTCAGCTTAAGGCTGCTTATAGCTTTGACGCCTGCGTAATGGGACAATTCGCTTACATCATCGTCAGGCTCGTTACTGGGTAACTATAACACTTCCTTCCCTTTCACAATTGTAAAGTATTTTCAGGTCTGAATTATATGCTGTTAGCCATTAGAGTTTCACTTAATTTAGGCAAACCACATGTCTAGATACTATTCCCTACAATGCTAAATATAGGAGTACCTTTTGAGGGAATTAAAGTAAAATGAGGACCTGTCTACAACTGGACTTTCTAAATTTATAACTTAAACTTTCATGTTTACAACTTGAAGGGATCCCATTGGACACTATTTTTTTGTTTTTAGAACGTCGATCCTCAATTCGCATTCTCCGTTAATTGGGAGTTGATTTTCTCAAGGCTGGTGGGGACTAAAATTTTTAAACCGTACAGAGACTGTATTATTTGAAATCAAATGGAACTTTGGGGACCTATATTAGTTCAACGTCACTCTTTTTTTGTTTTTAACCTATTTTATGCATGCTGAAGTCTAATCTTCTCTTTCCCTTTTGTGTTGGGGTTTCAGAGTATTCAGTCAGGTCCTTTGAAGCTACAATACGCTACCTCTGTATTCACTCCTTACACAGGTGTGTTTCAATTGAATCGATCCTCTCATTGGAAGATATATTACATAGCTCTTAATATTAAGGAATATTTGAGAAATATTGTCTCTAGTATTAAGGTCAATCTTTTGAATCTTCAACTAACCTCACGGAAATCTTTTCAACAAGTTTGAATTATTGTCATGAAGCCCACAATTTATGGAAATCATGAACCATATACCTCACCTTAGAATTCATCAATGCATGCGGTCGAAATTGAGGCAATATTATTATTGCATTGACATGTGCTTCAATTATCAAACAATATGTGTAGATGGGAGAACATTACTGCAAGGACATATTTCTTAAGCTTCAGAAAGAGGCCGAAGGTGTTGAAATAATGGCTTCTAAAGCATGAGAGCTCAACGTACTTGAGGGTGCCTATATGTCCAGAGTAAACTGTCCTTTAGATCCTGAATTCTTAAGTGCTTTCGTCCTCAAAGATTGTTGAGCGTAGAAGGAGTTTGTTCACGAATGTAATATACATATCTATATATATCGTTGAATATGTTGGTACCTTTTTTTTCATTGTTATCTTAGTGATGAGAGGTTATAAGCATTTTTAGTAATAAGGTGCATGAAACTTTGAAACTACAGACTGGCCTAAGAGTTTAGGGGTCAAAGTTCTAGTTTACTTTGTAAATGATGTAATTTAGTTTCTGCTTTACAACTTAGAGCCTTATAGTGTGTGTTTGTATATATTTTGGCCAATAAATGCTAGATTACTAGTTTGCTCCTTTATAGATAATTTGAGAAATTGGGTTTATGACATTGCTTAATTTTTATTTTATAATTTGTATTGAGTACGTGTTCTATATGAATATTGGGGTAATGGAAAGATAAGTTTGCTTACGATTTACTATATAATTATACATTCTTTTGAAAATACACTTTAAAAAAATAAGTTTGTCAAAGAGCTTTTGGTTTATACGTTGGTTTAGAACACGTGGTAATGGAATAGATTATTGAGGAACGGGAAGGTTGCAAAAAAGAAATGTCAATTTGCACCATGCTTAGAACAAATTTACTTAGCTTGTTAAATAAGAACTCTTGTAATTTTAAGAACTTTTGCATATTAATACTACTTCTAGTCCTTAATATAAAAACTAATTAACTAATTTGAATAGATTAAGAAAATTAGTTAAGTAAGTTATTTGTGACAAATGAGTTGATTTTTCTAAAGTATCATTTTTAATCACGACTACTTTTGGATGGAAATCCCCTGACATGTACAATTAATATGTATACTTTAGATAATGAATTACAAATTTAGAGAACAAAAAAGATTGAGATATTATATTTCAGATCAAATCTAATCTTCAATTAGCTTTTATATTAAGGACAAAGGGTAGTATAAGGTTGGATTAGTTGTAAAATGAGAAGTTTGAAAATGTACGAGAAAAAATTAAATGAACTTGTTAAAACTTTAATTGAACTTGTTATTTCTTTGGCAAAAAAAAAAAAACTTGTTATTTCTGTTGAGTATTTCAAACTGTTCATTTTGCAACTGATCACCTGACACGTTAACATTAGAAGTTACTAAAATGAGAAGTTTTAACAAGTTCATTTGATGTTATAAAATATTTCCTTCATACATATTTTCATAACTGAAAATTGTAATTTCAATTGAAACCTTAAGCCTAGAAGTAAAATTTCAAAATCTTTTAGCCCTTCCTTTCTAACAAATAAATTACCTCTTAATGCCTATATCTGTGTATGTGTGACATTAGTTTAAGGCAGTTACTAAAAACCACTATAGCTTCCATAATAAAAAGGCATTAGTTTTATTGATATGAAATAGTTTAGTGTGGTTGATACAAATTTTATATTATGTATATGTTTTGCCAACAATATTGTGTGTGTGTGTGTGTGTGTATTGACACACTTTTTATATGGTTTATTTAATTATTAGAGAAGCTTTTAGAGTTTTGATCCATGAAAAGTCATGGGAGAGACAAATTCTGGTTTCATTCTGTTTTTCATTTTTCTTATAGTTCAAAAGGTTGAGACCCAAATTTACTCATGAGCTTATGCACAATGTACGTCAAATACATGTACTTTTCTGCAACAGTAATCATAAATATTTAAAAGAGAGTAAAAATATCACAACCATTAATCCTAGTTACTTTGACGGAGAGAGATTTTGCCTGAAAATGTTTGCATGGAAGTTGACGTGGCCATCGCCGGCAGTGGAGGAAAAAATTAAAACGAAAACAAAAAATCTACAGTGGAGGAGGATCTTCTTCGTCGTCAAGACGGGGACGACGCTAGAGACCGAATCATCATCTTCTTCAGAGCAACTCGATCATCAGGAACATAATGACAAGGGCGAGAGAGAGAGAGAGAGGAACTCCATTCGCCAAGTCAGAAATGGCTTCACGAGCCTTCCTTCAAACACATTGCAAGCAGAAATTGATTGGGTTTCAGAATCTCACCACTCTGAGCTGCCGGGTCAGAAATGTTACGAATTTCCAGACCCTGAATGAGTGAGTGCGAAGTGGGAAACACGTGTGTTCCGTTTTGTACAAATCAGCATAAGAATTGAGATTAGGATAAAAAAAAAAATCTATTAAAATAATATTTAATACCTGAGATTGTTTGTTACATGGAATTAGATAAACTCATTTATCTAGGATTAGGAAATATCATAAAAAAATGTGATATTTTCTAATCCTATTTTTATGGGTTTTCCTATTCCCATACAACAAACAATTATTCATACTAAATACTTTTTAATAATTTTTCATATAAGTGCGCGTGTGCGCGTGCGTGTGTGTGCGCGGACATGAAGGATCGGGCTGTTGAGCCCATTGAAACACTCAAGCACCGAAAAATTGGAATCGCCCATCATCCTTCTATCCATAAATCGAACAGATCTCAAGCATAGAATCCTAAGCTTGGCGAACCGATATGGAGTCCCAAGGAAATTCAAACCCCGAAGACGCTGGTTTGTTGAAATGGGCTTGGGTCTGTAATGAATGGGCCTTGCAAAACTGAGGAGCTGCAAGAAACAACTATTGGGCCAGAAGATGTTAGCCTTGGGCCTAGGGAGTATGGGCTAACAAGGATGGAGTAAGATGGGGGCTGTGGAGGTTGTGAATAATTTGGATGAAAACAACTGCCCTTTCAGACAAGATTAGATATAATAGAAGAGGCTAATCTCTCACAATATAGTAAATCAAAGTTTAAAATTTTTCTATTAAAAGTATCTACATTTAGTGCTTAATAGTATGTTAAACAAAATTACCTTCAATAAAAATATATTTACTTGGACCTGGTTAAAAAAAAAAAACAACAACAACAAACAAACAAACAACAACTCTCTAGCTTCTCCTCTTCCCTCCATGTGACTTTTTAATCTATCTATGCCTTTCTTTTTCTTTTTAGTACCCTTTGATTCTCTCCTTTGTTGTCACTATAACTTTTTTAAGCTTTGTGGTTGGCAATTTTTCCTCATGCTCATGTACTGTTGTTGAAATATGAATATTACAGTACCCATTTTGTCTCTATTTCTTATTTGATTCTGTGTGTTCTTTTGGACTGTTACAGCGTCACAGTCGGGTTATAGATCAACAAGAGGAAATAGAGCTTACTTGGCAAAAATAGAACACTCAAAGTCAACAAGCTTAGAAGGAAGAGGAGCAGAGTAGGTTATTTTTATGTTTATTTTTCCCCTCACTTCCAGTTAGGATATGGTTATGGCCACCTAAGAATCAGTGTTTTTTAGCCAAAACCTCACCTCTCTCTTCAACCGTCAAAGTGGCTAAAATTAACGGTTGTGTTATTTTTGCCATCTTTCAAATGTTTAAATGGGTATTTTACGTGGAGTGTTTGGTGCTCATTAGGTATTTAAGGGGAGATTTGCACATTAAGCCCAATTTAAATAGAATCAAGTCAACAAAGTCGCCCCATATCCCTCCACACAAAAGCAACACAATTGGGAAGGAGATTGGATGAAAGTGATTAAAATCAAACTAACAAAAAGAAAACTTACTTTTAATTCAATAACTTATCCCACCATTTTCTCGTGTTCCAAACTAAAGACTTTATAAGAAACAAAATGCTTCAGCAATTCAAAAATTAAATCTGTTAAAGTAGAAGTGATACGCGCAATCTAAAGCAAAAGCCACAAAGCCTCGCCTTCCGAATCATTTCCCCCACCCACAACACAATGGCCCTTGCTGTAGCCTCCTTCTCGTTTCTTCTTCTCGTAACTCGGTTTCTGGATCCCTTTAATTTGTTTCATTTCACTTTTTCTCCATTCGCTCTCCTGCAGAAGCAGTAAAAAAGCCTCATAAATCTCTCTCTCTCTTCTCTGGTTCTTTATTATCAACTAGCAAATTCACAGGTAACTTTCCGCTTCATATATCCACGCCTTTCTGTTTGGTTTATTTGATTGATGATGAAGAATATGGTAGTTGCTCTACGTTTAACGGATTCTTCTTCTCATTCTTCTGGAAGACACGATTGATCTTTGAAGCGATAAACGACAGAAGATTCCATGGATCTGGTGATAATGAGCCTCTGAGCCAGCAGGGTAACCCATTAATCCTTCTACTTTGTGTTTTTTTTTTTTTCATCCTTTTCAATCCTTTCACTTTCAGTGGGAAGATATTCTATATCCCATACCCAAAAAAATAAAAGAGTGAATTAAAAAGAAACCGATCAAAGAGTGATATTTTGATCAACATTAGAGAAAATTAAGTCCCACCAAAGAAAGTCCTTATTTGAAATTATCAGAATTTATAGCTTTTTAAATATAATTCATAGTTTTAATAGTCCCTCAAGTCTTATATATATTCCTCTGCCAGCTGGGATTCAAAACTGATTACCTTCAACTGCAAAATTAGATTTTGTTTTGAAAATAATTTACTATGTTGTGATTTTTTAGATTATAAAATTACCCTTCAAACTCACAAAATATTGAAAAGTTAAACTACCAATAA